CGGCTGGGGCGCTGCCCTCGGCCGCCGCCCGGGTTTCATTTCGTCTCTGGTTGGAGAAGATAACTTCATCTTCGTCCTCCACGGCGTCGCGCAGCATATTGTAGGTGGTCCTGATCATCTTCTCGATGTATATGGGGCGGGAGTAGGAGGCAAGGAAGAGGCAGTTCTGCATGATGACTGCGCCGTAGATCATCACAACGACGTCAGCCGTGTACCTGGAGCAGAGGTGGCCTACCAGTAGCGGCACTAGGCAGCTGCCGAGGGAAGGCGCCACGCGCACGATGCGCTGCGCTATCGTCAGCTTCTCTCTGAAGTAATGTGTTATAATAACATCCGTCTGCTGGCCGGTTAGGGCGCAACCCATACCTAAAAAAAACAAGATTTTACTTGAAAAAAAAAGCCATAAGTGTTTTTGAAGTAGATATAGTATCATAGACATTAGTGTTATTTTGCGAGCTAGTTAGATTCGATATTATGCTTCTAAATGTTTATTTGTAAGTAGGGTTGCACGTTAAGTTGTTTGCGAAGTGCGAGCCAATATTTTTGTTACTAGAATACCGACAAAATGAAAAAGACTATAGCTAGAACCGCTGCTGGTTAAGCAAATGTTGTACAGTTATCATAAAAAGTTGAATAGACCTTACCTGCGAAAATTCCTGAAAAAATGTTGACAATATGGTCATTACTGTCTGCATTAGTCGAGTAACTGGACAGTAATACGCCAGCCACGGTCAAACAAAGTCCAGAAAGTGCGATCACCCTCGGCATGTTAAAAATTTTTACCATAGCCCTGCACCAGGATTCTAAAAGAAGTCTTATTATCACCATAATCACAGGCACCAAGGCTATGTCCACGTCCCAGATTTTCATTAATTCCCCTTCTTCGTGATCTTCTTCCCTGATCGCTTTTAAAATGATGATTCCATATAAACTTAAAAGAGAAGGTACGGTTACATGATACACTGCCGCAGAAAAGACAATGAGCCATCCATATCCACCGTCTGGAGGTGTTGGTCCAATCTCAGGTTGAGATGCGACAATTCTGTCTAAATGCAGATCTTCTGCCCGGTCGCCCCTATCCGTTCTGTTAACGCTTGTGTCGTTTTGTGTATCCATATTTTACACGATAAACAGAAATGACTGTGAATTCATGTCGAAAATGAGGTGTTCAATGAGTTATCTACAACACAGAATGTTTTATCTTATCACTATCTTGTCGCGTAATCTACGCTCTAGATTTTTAAAATTAGCGCCAATATAGTAATCACCATAGTACATTAACAGAAAAATTTAATTGCACCTATATTTAAATGAGTTTATGAACTTCTAATTAGTTGGATTTTTGTAGCAAAAAGCTGATTTGTTTAGTAGTCATATTTTTTGGATATGAAATATGAAGAATGTGATGTTATTAATGAAATAGATATTTTATTAATTAGTGTTCGTCACACTGGACACTTACGAATTAAGGATAAACAAATATAAAAAATTGTTTTGGTTTGCTTTTAACATTTTTAATTTCTGAACGATTCATCAATATTATACGACCATGTGAAAATGTCAACGAGATCGAAACAAAGAAAGAGATAGTTTAATTCCGGCATGGGAACAAAGATAAAGATAGACAGACATCACTCGACAAAAATAAAGTAGTATTTTCTTATGTTGCTTAGTCTCAAAGTTTATTCTGTCTAATTTCGTTTGACTGATATCTGTTAAAGACGCTCCTATTAGAAAATGTCTTTAAAATATTAATAGTGAAATGGTAAATTCCATTTTCGTTACTAAGACAACGGATTCATAATGAGATCAATACATTGTGATAACGTATTTATTAATTTTCTCTCAAGAAATTATAATTTGCAATGTGCATACTTCCGTCGACCCCAAGCATTTTAATTGCTCTGGTTCGGTGGTTCGATTTCATGGTGGATTATTTTAGGCCGAGGCGTGTAATTGCCCATGGGTAAGGACCGGGAGCAGACACTAACTGTACAAGAAGTTAGCTATGGAGACGGAATCCGTGAGATCGGAGCTGAGCAGTCGGTCGCGGCGCAGCTCCCGGCACCGCCAGCACACTCACAGGAGCACTCGGTAAATATTATAACTTTCTAATTTATAATATATAAGTTTTTATAACTAATGTGCATGAAATTGTTTCCAAGACAAATGTTTTGTTTAACATAAATAAATGCTTTTTATACTCCTGCATCGTCGCAACTAACTATGTTTTAAACATAGATATAATCTATAATGTTACTAATTTCTATATATCAGTATTGTAAAACTAGAGAATCAACATCAAATTTTTATTGATTGTTTATCTAAATAAATCATCTTTATTATCAATTTTTTCTTGCAGAAGCACTAAATCTCAAAGGAAAGAGTGTGGAGACAACACAATGGCGCCATTTCAAACCAGTGTTAACATTAATCCAGAGATCTGTCGAGATGGGCAGGAGGTCATCGAAGTCCAGATCCTGCCTCAGGATGAGAACTGGGGCGAGAATACCACAGCTGTCACTGGGAACACATCAGAAGGCTCACAGTCCACGGAGGATGTGAGCAACTGGCCCATGGAGTCCGACAGTGGGATAGGAATTGTTTGTTCCAGATATTTTGGAACAACAATAGCTTTAGGATTATCTTTTGTCTCATTTGTGAGTCCATTGGCGATGGTTGTGTTGCCGAAAATTGGGTTTTTCCCTGGATTGAGTGACAACATAGCCATCCAAACTAGCCAAAGGATACAACTGTTGTCTTGCACAGCTGAATGTAAAGGAATTCTACTTTCTTTAGCATTTAAATTAGTTTTATTAGCAATAGGAGCTTGGGCGGTGTTCCTCAGGCCGCGCAATGCTATCTTACCCAGGATATTTGTGTTCAGGGCTATGACCCTCGTCATCCTGGCCGTGTGCACATTCTCCTACTGGCTGTTCTACATTGTGCAGATCACTGAGGCCACAAAGGCATTAGCCCTCGGGGAGGAAGCCATAGATTACAATTCATTAGTTTCCTATGTATCGAGTTTTGCAGATACATTGCTATTCATACATTACATAGCAGTAATTTTAATAGAGGTGAGGCATCAGGAGCCGGCCTACTATATCAAGATCGTACGCAGCCCCGACGGGGAGAGCCGGTCGTACGCAATAGGGCAGCTGAGCATTCAGAGAGCCGCCGTGTGGGTGCTGCAAAAGTATTACACAGAGTTCCCCATATACAATCCGTATTTGGAGAAAATTCCAATATCAAAGTCCCAAAGAAAAGCTCAGTCCAGTATCAAGTTCTACGAAGTGGACGGCTCCACTGCGAATACTCCATCTGGGCAGCCGCGGTGAGGATTTTATATTTAAGTGATCATTAATTTATTATTGAAATAATAAACAATGCAAATCCAAACGATGCAGTTCGACGACCGGCTCGTGCACGGGCAGCGGCGGGCGGCGGCGCGACTCCGCCTCCGCGCACAACGAGCGCTACTACGAGGAGGCGGAGCGCGCGCGTCGCGTGCGCAAGCGCCGCGCGCGCCTGCTCACCGCCACCGAGGACGCCTTCGCGCACGTGCGCCGCGTGCGCGTCTCCGCCGGGCTCGGTCAGTGCGCGGCCCTCGCAGCCACACCATCCTTTCAGTCATACCTCGGTGTAACACATGTACGTTTGTGTCGCAGGGGGCTCGCTGGGGCCGCGCGAGGCGGCGCAGGCGGTGTTCCCGTCGCTGGCGCGCGCGCTGCAGAAGTACCTGCGCGCCACGCGCCAGCAGCCGCGCCACTCCGCGGACTCGGTGCGTGTGCGGCGGCGGCTGGGCCGGGCCGTGCTGGGGGCGGTGTGTGGGCGGCGCGGTGACGAGCGCGTGTCGTGTTGCAGGTGCTGGCGCAGCTGGCGCGCTGCCTGGCGCAGGACGCGTCGCCGCGCGCGTTCCTGGAGCCGTTCCTGGTGGAGGGCCCGGTGGTGTCGGCGGAGCGCGAGGCGCGCGCGCAGCAGCGCTGGGCGCTGGTGTCGGAGGAGGTGCCGGCGCGGCCGCTGGCGGACGGGGTGGAGTTCCAGCTGCGGCAGGGCGACGTGTCGCTGCTGTGCTGCGTGCGCCGCCTGCCGCGCTTCGCCCTGGAGGAGGAGGTGGTGGACCCCAAGAGCAACCGCTTCGTGTTGCGGCTCAACTCGGAGACCTCCGTCTGACAGGAGGAGTGGTCGGCGCGCAGCGACCTGCGCCTCGTGTGACGCGATACTTGTCCCGAGACATTGCCGAGTATCTCGGAGTGTGTACAGTGCAGTGCCGCATCAAATGGATAGATAGAACTAAAAGTGAATTAGTCTGTATGTAGAAATGTGAACTGTGCATAGTTTTGAACAGTGTTGTGAATCTCAGTATATATTGTATGTGAGATCTTAAAGACTGTTGCATTTAACTTTGATATGTAACTATTGTTACATGTATTTTGTGAATGTGTCATACTTCAGGTAAAGAGTAATGTTAGTTTTGTAATTTGCACAAATTTTACAACATTACTATAAAATTTACATAATAATAAATACTGTTATAATTTTATACATCTTAGTTAACATTGATTTGTCTGTAATCCAAAAATCTTTTTGCACAAGTTTTATGTATTCACTGACAAAAGGGACATAATTATTTTGTATAGTTTGATATATTGAAAAGTAATTAGGTGCTTGAATGCTTAGATGTTGAACGGTAAACAAGTTTTAAGTATATTCTTGTTGATGAAGTAATGCATGTTTCAACAAAGACAAGCTGCATATGTTTTAATAAAAACCTTGCCTTGTCAATGTGCAGCTGAACAATTATAAAAGCATTTCCTTACTCTATCATATCATAGCATAAATATTTATTACTAGAAAAATAGTGATGACTAATTTTGTGGGCCTTATTGTAATGTAGGTAGGCAGTAGCCAGTAGGCAGTGGGCACTGTATTATTACAGAAGACGGTAATATTATCCATACCTATATTTTAATAGAAACAAGCAATTATTATTAATAAAATATACAAACTACTTAAATGATTGTAGGTATTAATAATTCCAGCATTGTCATACATTTTATTGGGACTAGAGCGGCAGGTGGGCGCAGGTTAAATAAAGCACTATGATTGTATTAAACAGTTTGTTAAAGGTACAAGTAGACAATACAAAACAAATGTTTTGTTATTGTATGGCGAGAGCGCGAGCGAGCAAGGTGTGCGCACAATGTAGCAGCGAGCAGCGCGGCGCGGCACTTGCGGTTTTGTACATCATGCTTGCGTTTTCTACTTGTATTATGACTAGAAATTGTATACTATTCCTAGGATATGTATATAATTCTAAACCGAAATGTACACGGATTTCATACATATCCGATAATATTGATAAAATTTATTAGATATATACAGATACTGCCTTATACATAATTACAGAGTTGTTGTAATTGTGAACGCTTTAATGAATGAATCTCATAACCATTATTAGATTTAAATGAACATGACAATGTTAATGTAATGTATGTATTGGTGGTGAAGTGTGCGTGTGTGTGTGTGTGTGACGTCACAGACTGAGGTACAGCTTCGTGTCCAAGTTTAGATTTAAACTTTATATAGACAAAATACTATATGGCACCAAGACTGATTTTTTTTCAAGGTTTTGGTACAATTACGAGTTTTTATAAAATGTTGCAACTAGTCAGTGAAGACTACAAAGTGTATGGGGACCGATTGCAATTTAAACATAGGTAGCATTGACAAAAAAATTATTGACAAGATTTTTTTTACGTACTTTGTTAACACATTGTCATCGCTGATGTTTTTTTATTTCTTAATAAAGTAAGCTTATATATTGCCTTTGAAAATATTTTAGTTTATATAGATTTTTTAAGATTAAAAATTGTATCAATTTATATTGTATTGAATTTTTTTTTATAATGATTCCACTCTCAACATTTGATACCTCTTTGGAAACTATAAGATATATGAATAGTATAGTAACTAATTCGCTAGTTCTACGTGAACATATTTATATTTAATATTGATGCAGAGTTTGGAGCTTAGCATTGCTTGTGTCTGCTATATCAGAACTTTGTTGTGTGTCAATAAACGCGATTTCAACCATTCCTTCTGACATCACTCTAGTTCGTCATATCTGAAACATTTTTTAGATAAGCCTTTACGACTTCTACAAAATGATAAAGAAACAATGTTATATTATATTTATAAAAGTTTATTTATTAATAACTGTACATTTTTAAAGGTTTTAATCCTGTCAACAAACAATTTGTATGAATAAAGCGCACAAAGTTAGCCGGAGAGCGGCGCCGAGCGGCGCCAAGCGGCGCGCACGCTTGTACGCGAACACACATTTTGTATTTTACAAATATATAAACTAAACATTGATATGTTCTATTATTTTCATAACCCAACCCACTATATTTATTAATTACGTCTTATTAAACCACAACGACTTGTTTTCATGAAAATTACAAATAGGTTATCAAATCAGATTTTATCTAACGCTACCAAATCAAGGAAATCATGTTGAATAAAAATGTAATTTTCTAAAATTAATGGTCATATTAGTATTTCGCCACTCGAAAGGGTATCGCGCCGGCGCTATTTACCTGACAACATTTACGTATTATATAAAAGTATTTACCTCAATTAAATGATAATTAACTTATCATTGGTAATGTATTTATAATAGTTTCAAGCGAGATACGCAATGTACTAACTGACATATAGAAGGGAATCTGAATATGGTATAGGGTAGAGAAGTTATTGCATTTAACACAGTTAGGTCAGCAGAAAGCACCAGAAGAAAAAAGAACTCGGTTTATAAAACGTTAAAAAAAAAAACAAAAAATAAAACTTTTCAATTCAAGTAAACTTACAATTACAATGGAAGAATTATTTACATCAACACTGCCTAATTATTAATAGTATCACAGAAGCTTCATTTACATTTATTGCTAATATCAGGTCTTATTGTAGACATGTGAAAAGTGTGTGTGCTACAAGGCGGAGGGGGCGGAGGGTGCGGTGGGCGCGAGTGCGGCGGCGTGCGCGTGCAGCGGCAGCGCGGCGTAGGCGGCGGCGGGCAGCGCGCGGCCGCGCGGCGGGCAGCCCGGCAGGTACCAGAACAGCCACAGCGCCGCCGCCGACGAGAACATGCAGAACGCGATGATGCCGACGGCCGCGCCCGCGCCGCCCCCGCCGCCGCCGCGCTCCCGCGGACATCGGAAGTACTTCTCCTTCAACTCGAATATTTTGCTGTTGAATAGCGACTTGGGCGAGTAGCATCTGAAACAGACGCTGGCCGTTACTTTAGGGCTGTGTTCTACAATTAGTCGGTTGAGATCTTTGATGACAGAAATTAATACATGTTTATTTTTGAGGAAAATTATGCATAAATATAACTCATAGTAGCAATCGGTTATAGCAATGTATTTATCGATAATTCTGGAAAACCTTGTAACACATTGCTACGTTCAAACAGACAACTCGCCGTTTTATGACTAATAGGTACGCGAGTGAACAAAGAGAGCGCGTTTGTACGTCGCATGAGGCCGATACGTCACTTGTTGCGGATTTGCGGCGACAGTGATAATTCCTATCTCATTAATTACTTACACAAATACATGAGTTTTAATAATTTTGTCATTGCTTCTCTATTTCTTCTTAATCTACAAGCGAATGGAACTAATTACTAAGATTAGATAATGACAGTTGGTAATCTTAGCTTTGTCACAGACACTATTAAACTAACAAAAGTGACGACCTTCCCGTACTCACCTCAAGTGCTCGTAGTCGTTTGGGTCCATTTGAAACTGCTTGATCCAGGCCAGCCGACAGTCGCAGTGCCAGCGGTTGCCTTGTAGGTCGAGGCGGGAGAGCCGCCCCAGGGGCGTCTGCAACCGTTGGTCCAGGGTCCGCAGTCTGCATGACTTGAGTGATAGCTCCTCCAGCGTGAAGTCGTCCGCGTCCTCCAGCACCTCCCGCCCGAACGCCAGCGCGCTGAACTCCGTCAGGTTGAGGTTTCTCTCGAGGTCCAGCCGCACGAGCGCCCGCATCGGCGCCAATGCGTGCGCCGGCACCGAGCCGATGCTGATGTTGTTCATCTTGAGAACCTTTAACGCCGTCAGGTCGGCGAAGTCCTCGCCGGATATCTCCCGGATGGGATTGTCTGATACGTCCAGGTATTCCAGGGTGAACGGGATCTCGAACAGTTCAGCCAAGTCATTATTTGCGACTATGAGCTCCCGTATGTCGTAGGCGTCCACGAAGAAGTTGTCGTGCACGCGGCCCAGGCCGACGCCGGAGATGGACACCTTCTGGATTTTGTTCGTCAGGCCGAACCCGTCGCGGTCAAAGAGGTCGGTGTCCCGGAGGGCGGGCCCGATGTTATTATTGTTTAGGATGACCTCGCGCAAATCCCGCAGCGGATGGAACGTGAGTTTTCCGAACGACACGAAATTGTTGTTCGCCAAATTTAAGAATTCCAGCTTAATTATAGACCGGAAGACGGCGCCATCCAGTCGCTGGAGTCGGTTGTAGCTGAGGTCGAGGCGGCGCAGGTCGGGGAGCGCGAGGGCACCTTCCTCGATGTCTGCGATATCGTTGTTTTTCAGTACCAACTCCTGCAACGACTTGGATCGGAGAAACGGTCCCGATCGTATTATCTTCAAGGCGCTCGAGGAGAGGTCGAGGGAGTAGGCCCTGGGAGGCAGAGTGCGATTGCCAGCGAGGGCGCCCCTCCTGTAGGAGCAGTCGATGTGCTGCCGCATTAGGTCCTCCTCGGGCCGCTCGTGGAACCTGCAGACGCACTCGCCGGGGGCGTCGCAGAAGGTCCAGGAGCGCGCCGGCCAGCAGGTGGCCGCCAGTGCGAGAAGCGCGAGAGCGCGTCGCATCTTGTCCGCAACAACACTCGCACACCACTGATAGCGCGACTCGCGACGCTACTACGATCTTATCAGCGGCGTTATCATTGATATTTGATTGCTGGTCATTTCTCTTTGTTTACCTATAAACGAGGCCGTAAGTAGGTGAGATAGTGCCCTGTGCGGGGAGACGCGCCTCAACATCGGTATCGCTTTTAGGCATAAAAACTTAAAAACGTATCGGATTTATTTTTAAAACTTGTACGGAGGTAGCTTGTAAACATGTGACATAATAAGTTTTCTTTTATTTCGTTCACAAATTAATACGATGTATATTCGCATACAAAAGTATTTCAATGTTAAATGTATAACAAAGTAAATATAATTTAAAAAATGTAGCAAACAAAAACGTGAAATTGCTGATATGATAGTAGTTAAATAAGATAATAGTAAAATAGTTAATTCACAAAGACATTGAATTTGATGAGGTTATACGGGTGTGCAGGAAAGACGTGTCCAATGGGTCCACAACCCCTCCTTGACTCCGTATTCCAAAATATGTCGATTTGAACGAACTTACCTCTATCCAAAGTTGTTTCGTTTGGGTGCTAGAGCTAGAGGGCTCTAAAGTTTGCTAATGATTTTACATTTATTGAAATATCTTGAAAATCCTTAAATAAATTATGTTCATATTGAAACCTTAGGTTTTTGTTTGATCAACTACACCTTTTTGTACAATAAACTTTTGTCATAAAATCATTAGAGAGCTCGAAAAATCGAACACAATTTTTATCATACTTTTGTATCCGCTTGTACAGTCACTGTCAAGTTTTTCTCAGATAAACAGAATAATTTGAAAGATTTTGGTTTTGACTCGAATAAGTAATTTCTAATTTAACTTCGAGCTTAACTGCGGGACTATGAGTTAACATTCCATTTTTTCATAATCTAAATTAATTTAAAATTGAAAATAACTAAGTGTGCATTACATAACCACTGGGTACCCTAAGCAGAACTAAATATTGAAAATGATATTAATAAACAATTATAACATTTATTGTACTCGTACTAATGATTCCAGTTAACTTACAAAACACTGTTTTGTTTTAAAACCGTTTGTCAAATTAAAATTTAAACAGAGGCCAAAAATCTTTTAAATTACACTATCTGAGAAAAAAACTAATTGTACAGGCGGTTACAAAAACATGATAAAGAATTGTTTTGATATTCGAGTTTTAGAGCCCCGGATGAGTTGATGACAAATGTTTGTTACACAAACAGGTATAATTGAAGAAACAAAAACCATTATTTCAATATTAATAAAATTTATTTAACGATTTTAGAGATGGTTCAAGAAATGTAAAACGATCAGCAAACTTTAGAGCCCTCTAGCGCCCAAACGAACCAACTTTGGATAGAGGTAAATTGGGTCAAATTGTTATATTTTCGACCAAGGAATCTGTGGCTGTCCTTGTGCACGTCTTTCCCGGACACCTGTATACGTGCTACTTGTCATTATTTGTGTGGAGGTCAGTAACTATAAGAATTATCTCGTCGTTGTTATTGTGAAGCGTGACCTCGTCATCGTGCCGTCGACATATTCGTGTGGCAAAGTAACAGACTTCCCGAGGGCGATGCGAGGTTGCAGCCGGGCGCGTCTCGTCGCAAGATGCAAGTTACTTGTATGTATCAAGGAAGGAAGGATTGGCATATAAAGACGGATTAATAAAAAGGATTTTATTCGGCACGCTATATACATAGATACGTTAGATACAAAGTGAGCGGCTCTGGAGGCGGCACTGGAGGCGGCACTAGAAGCGAGCGCGCGCGGGTTGCGCCGCGCCCTTGGTGGCGGGGTCGTCGTGCGCCTGCGGACAGCGCGCACATTACACAGTGCAATAAATTCAGTTTTAGTGTGCGGTGTATGCGGTGTATGCGGTGTGTTGTGTGTGTGTCGTGTGGTGGACGCGGTGCGTGGTGC